GAGGCGGTTTTCAAGCTCTAAAAACTTGAGCTCTGTAGCTCGTTAAATTCAGCAAAGACACTTGTTGCAATTTTGCGACTTTGGTGCTTAAAGGGTTAAAACAATCTTTGGGCGTACGAATCGCTCCTCGTGAATGTTTATGAGAATCGATTCAGAATCAGAGAATCGTTTCTTTCAACAGCCCAATTAAAAAGCATTGCTTGAATGTTTAGGATCACTCTCGTTTTCCACTGAAACGTGACTAGTCTGAATAACACATGAACAGGACACACAAACCCAGTCAGAATAAAGAGTCTAGACTGTATTGAAATGTTGAAGGTGTCCTTCAAACTTTGTATTATTTATGAAGGAGAAGAAGAACAACCCGGCAGACCTTTGGCTTTCTGGTTGCCAATATTTCTCCATGCTTCCTCGACTACCTGCAACTTGATGGAGGCTTCCTTCATGCTGATCCCAGAACAGCTCCATAGGATTCAGATCCAGAGACTGCTGGCCATTCCAACAGTCAGGATTCTGACAGACAATCCGCAATAGTTTTCTTGATGTTTATTTGTAAGCATATTCTTTCTTTTTTTTTATTATAGAAAACAAAAAGCACAACTCTTTTGTTCCTCGGAGTCTGAGGTCTTTTAGGCCTGTCCAATGGGAGGCCAACTCCTTAATTCTGACCTGTGCTCTGCCTCAAGAGTCTAGTGTAGCAGCCTGTCTGCGTCATGCCCTGAGATGCTATCCTGCAAGGTTGCAGATGTTGGACTGATGGCGGCTCCATGTAAGATTGTTATCAAAACATGAACCCACAACTTTCAACTTCACACCAAGACTGATTTTTTTTTTGTGTGTTCCTAAAAAGGAGATCAGGTTCAGGTGGAGTCATTTTCCTGGATAGACGAACAGAAAGCCCTTTGCCACACCCAGGCCTGATTACCAACAGACCTGCAGAGCTAAGGAATCACCTCTGAATACATGAAGTAGGCTAAAGGAACTCAGCACAACCTATTCCAAAGAAATTCAAAATAACCCAACATCTGAAGTCCTGCAGACCTCATGTTCTGAATAAGGCTCCTGAGAGATTTCCGTGGCTAAAAGATTTCCTGACCAAAGCAAACATGAGGGTCTGTGTCACATTCCCCAAAACATCTTGATGGTCCTTCAAGAGTTTTGGGGAAATATTCTGTAGACTGAGACTGAAGGTGTGTGATCCCGTTACACCTGGTGGACAATGCATTTCAGAAGATATACATCATACCAACAGTTAAACATACTTATTTTGACCTTTAACCTTTAATTGGCTGTCCCTGGTTGAAAACGTGGATGAATCAAAACAATTGCATTAAGATTTGGACAAAATTCCTCCACAGAGATGTGAGAATCACTTTTCTAAAGCCAACAGCAACGCAACATTACCACTGACTGTTCTGCATTATTGATGCTTTATCTCCACATTTAGCACAGCCTACAGGAGTTCTGCCATGTTCTAGAGTTGCTAATGCTAACAACTAGCTGCTACCAGCTGAGAGCTAGCTGAGACCAAGGGGCAAATTGCACCTGCCAAAAGTGAAGTCAATTGAAGTAACCAAAAATGCAGTTGCCCTCTCATCCACAAGGGGCTGCCTCCAGAAAGGAGCAAGTTCCCATTGACTCCCATGATAAAAATGGCAACTTCACAGCAGAAACAAACATGTTTACAGTAGGGATGCACAATATATTGCAAATACATCGTTATCGCGATGTCAGCATGCACAATATGCATATCGCAAAGAACAGATAAATATCGTAATGAATGGTCAGCTCAGATGTTTGCTACACAAGATGCATTCTGTCAATCAAACAGAAGCATGATGTTTTTTAACAAATCAAACAGAGCTCTTCACCCATTTGGCCAATTGGGTGGGGTCTCATAGGTTAGATGCCTGTGTGACACTATAATATAAATGCCTTGGTTAAAATAATAGCCCCCCACCCCACCCCCCACCCACCCACACACACACACACACACACACACACACACACACACACACACACACACACACACATTTTATTTTCATAGATAAGTAATGTAATGTTGATAAAAACTATTAGTAGCCTAATAAAAAACTATTAGTAGCCTAATAATACAGAGTTGGCCAGCAGAGGGCGCTCGGTGCCTTCTGCTCCCGCAGAAGACGTCGGAACTAGCGAGGGAGCAGGCTCAACACCGAGTAGCTCCGATTAACTTTGTTGTACTCTGTTTCTGCAGATTCCTGCATAAATAAATGTGTTGCTTGGGAAATGAGTTGGCCCATCATTTCAGCAGTGTAACACCTGCCCCCGACACTTAATTTTGATGGTTAGCAAACACCTGAGTTAGCTTTGTTCTGCTCTTTCTGCTGAATCTGCGTTTCCCGGGATCCACTGATTGCCTTTTCTTGTTTGTTTTCTTTTTCTCTTTCCTCACATCTTTTGCTTTTCTTGTTTTTATGACTTTTTTTATTTCTATGTTTTTGATGACTTTTGTTCCTGAGTTAAGTTTTTATTTATCGCAAGTAATATTGTCATCGCAATATTAATCACTGTTATCGAATATCGCAGGTTTTCCTAATATCGTGCAGCCCTAGTTTACAGCCTCATTAGAAATACATTTTAGGTTAATTAGGTTACGTTTTCCTTCATGACAACTCTGGGGGGGGGGGGGGGGGGGTATGTCTTGTAACTCATCCATTTATGTGTAATTAAAGCTTAAAACTAGGAATACGTAGGGGTGTGTCCTTTTGATTGGCAGGTCTCCCCTCCAGTCTAAAAGTGTTACTGCCTAGGCGGCAGAGGTTTGCAGGGTCGCTTAATCGCGGGTTTTCTGGTGACCCCCCCCCCCCAACCTTTGTTAGCTTTGCTTATCTGTCAGCTCGTACGTTGGCTCAGTGAATGATGGGTGTCAGTCATCTGTCTCCTGCTTCACAGCATGTAAAATGTGGTTTCTCAGTAAACTTTGCCTAAAGGCACGCTAACAAACGTGTTCATATTTTTAAATCATTTTCTTCAGCCATTATGCACAAAAATGACCGTTTACATGGTGAATGAAAGTTTCTCAGACCCCCCACGCCTCAGAACAGACGAGCTACACCTGATTAGCATTTATTGTGACATGTTTATCATGGTGGAGCCTCAGAAGAAACAAAGATAACATTTATCTGATGAAGTAAAAAACAAAAAAAAAGTGACCACAATAGTAGTCAAACAAAAGCAAACACTGTGAGTTTTCTGAGCCACAAGAGCTCAGAGACGTGATTCCTGCATGTTTTAGCTTGTGAACACATCAGCTGGTTTGTTATATCTAGTGATGAACTGCTCCTGGAGAAAGTAATAAAGGTTGAGGCGACATTTCAGCTGTTGGAATAAGGAGTTAAAAACATAAATGCACAGCGTGGGAAGAGTTTCACTTTCATTTTTACAACAGTGGATTTAAATAAACATCAGGGGATGCTCAAAGCAAGCCAAAACTGCTAAGATTTGACTTTTTCACACAGGACCAGACTGGTTTCTTTTGATTATTTTCCACTAATGAACATTTGAAAACAAGCTTTTGTTTGAGCTCAGGTGGTCATTATCTACTTTTGAAGTCAGTTTATTGATCTGAAACATTCGGGTGTGGTAATTCCATTTTCATAGGTCAGTGAAAAGTATTTATGTATTGTTTCTGAAATATGAAAACCAGGTGATGTTATTGTTGTCACTTCTTTTCACCTTTATCTTTGTTCAGTGACTAAATGAAATGATTTTAGGGTTAGGGTTCAACATGACCATCTCATCCATCTCCACCAATCTTCACCCATCAAGACAGAGTCGAGTTCAGCTCCAGGTCCTGGTCTCAGCTCTGCTGCCTTCCTTCTTCCCTTCCTCCCAGACACAGAAACTCTCAAGTTTTATCTGAAACCAAGAAGAAAAACAAACCTACAGCAAGACATGAGCTGGTTCCTCTGGTGGAATTCTGTTTACAGCATCAAATCAGACCCGCAGTGAGAGGAACACTCCTAACCAGCTCAGATAGACTCTGCATTGTTGTGGCTGAATATTTGGGAGTCCGGTTTGTTATGAGCTCTCCTCAGCACTGCTGCCAAACATAGAGCAGTAGAAAACCCTCTTTGTGGATTCCCCGTCACACTCCATGGTGACAACATGCTAAAGATGTACATGTTAATCAAATGCAAAAGTTTCCTAAGTGTCCACATCCTGTTTTGGTGTCTCTTTGTCTAACAGCAGGATGTTTCAGTGGATAATAACGTTTATTTCTTCTGCTGCATCTAACTGGTGGATTCAGACCAGATTAATCAGGACGTGTTGATAACGTTGGTAAAATTAGACGGGCATGGGGCGGGCCTATCCTGTGTGGTGTTGCTCCCCTCTTATTTAATAACCAGCACTGCACCAGCTCTCTAATTACTGCTAACGAGGCTTTCAGATTTATCCTCACAATTAGAGGAGAACATGTAACTGTCCAATTTAGGCTCTGTTCCCTCCTCCCCCCTCGCTCTGCCTGCTTGTTAGAGGAAGAAAAGGCCTTGATCAGCAGCGGGTTTGTCCCCTCCTGTCCTGGGAAACGATGGCATTAGGAAGAGAGCCAATATTCAGGAGAAGTTCTCTTCATACACAGCTTTGAACAAGAGAAGGAGACAGAAGAGGGAGGTGAGCTGTTGCATGTGGTGGAGATGAAAGAAGAAGGGAAATATGATAGAAAAGGAGGCTTCATACGGTAACTTTTACACCTCTGTGGGGTTACTCTCCTGAGAAACTGAGACTTCCATGTTTGTTTCCTGGGCACCGTGAGCTCTGCCAAACCTTTCATTTTATTTTTTTTTTCTTTGCTGCCTGAACCTCCCACTCTCTTTCTTTTCATTGTGTTTGTTGTTTTTGTGGAAGGAATAGAAGCAGTCCAGATTGCTGTTGCCAGTAGAGACTGTCTCAGCTCACCTCCAGCGGCTCTCCTCTCCATTCATAAACAAATGGCTGTGGCCCGGGACCTCTGAGCTGCAGCCTACAAGAGCAACACGCAGAACCTGATCCGTGTTTTTGAAGTTCTGATCGTCTGCCTCTTCACTCATTTTCATGAGACCTGCTTGTGTTGCTTTTTGCTCCTCTGTTCTCTAACACCCCCTTCTCCTCCTCTCTTCTTCCATCCCTCCCCTCTCTCTCTCTCTCAGATTCAGCTAGGTCAAACCGCTGACTCTTTGCTCTGTGTGAGCCTGCCAGAGAAGGAGTGTGTGTCCGCATGCCTCTTTTAAACTTACACCACTCTTTCTGAGTGCCGGTAGGCTTGTTTTGTGAGTGTGAGAGAGACAGAGAGCTGAGGGAGAGAGAGAGAGAGAGACCCCCACAGCGCTGTGATTTGACTAAACAAACGGCCGGGCTCAGAGCGGTACCTCCTCCCAACGGACTCCTGGGACCAGCACAGATAAACCTCAGACTGAACATCTGAGAGAGTGGTACATATGATGCAGCAGAGCCTGTGGAGGCTGCAGCTGGAGACCTCCACTCAGATTTTGATCTTCTTTACCTTCTTGGAGAGGGAAGACTCGTCTGTGCCTGCAGGATCGTTGTGAAGGTATGGAGGTGTTAATCTTGAACTTGTTTCTGATGGTCACGGCTGTTTTGTCGCTGCTGCCAGAGGTGAGAATTTGTTTCACAATGTTGGAAAAGTTGATCCAGTCTGCACGCTGAGGCCAAACCCACAACCGTTCTGGGTTTAGTTAAAACTGGACCCTGAATTTCGTGAGTTTTATTTAAATTTAAACAAATCAGACAGGTTTGTTTACTCTCCATGTCCCCACGAGTGTGTGTGTGTGTGTATGTGTGTGTCTCCGCTGGGTTCTTTGGTACCCGCATGTTTGAATGTGTACACACAAACAGCGAACAACCTGTTCAAACATCAACACAGCAGCGGCTCACATCCCTGACACCACTTCACACCCTACAGCTTCAACCGTGTTTGTCTTCTCGCTCAGAGATGTTTGACAGGTTGTCTCAGACAAACACACACACACACACACACACACATAGCTTGTTTGTATGCATGCCACTTTGCGCTTTGCTGCTAAAGAGCTCGTTTATGTCGACGCTCTTCAGTCACCCTAGTTGAACCAAAGATCTTCCCTGTGAAAGGGCCTGTCAGGATCAGTCTTCTCCAGAGGAGCATCAGCCCGGAGCCGTCACCTGCATCCTCTTTAGCCACAAATAGATTCCTTTATAGTGATAATAAGGCTAAAACGAGCCCAGCTCTTCTTTAGATCTTCTGGGAACCGGTGACTGGGTCAGTAAACATTGTGTTGAATCATCGTTCTTCCCTTCATGACAGAAACCAGATTTTACAGCCTGGACTGAGTTACGCTGGCGTCATGTGAGCCGTTTCATGGCTAAGATATGTGTTTGGTGAATGTCTTTTCCATCTAATCCGACACATGGTTTGCACCTGAAAGGCGGAGTAATGAGCAGCTGCGGTATCTGGACTGTTGGTCTGGTTTTATTGGGCATCCATCATCCAGATGCTGTTGGAGTTTCAGCAGATGAACGTCTGGAAAACTGCATTCATATCATCCTTCTACCATCAGCTTAGCGTCACGTTTAAAAGCACTGCTCTGCTCTGACACATTTTTAAACAAGGTTTTTCTTAACGTAACAGGGTTATATATCTCTCCTTGGCTGTGGGGGGTTTCCTGGCCGTGCGTCAGGCTGCTGGTATGCTCCTCGGCCCGGCCCTGATGTTGAGCAGCCCGGTCGGCTCCGTTCCCCCTGGCCCGGACCTAATCCTTACTCATCAGCTGTTTCCTGGCTTTTTGGGCTCGCTTGCATGCCAGCCACAGTGAGAAAATGTGCTTCGCATTAAGACCCAATACAGAACACGCCAGCACGTGCTCCACAGAGCCGACATGTCGCAGTTTGAGTTGTGAAACACGCTGATCCCAATCTGTCCTCCTGTGATTTACTCTCTGTCCCACGAGCCGAACGTGCAGCTGCTGAGCAACAAGATCACAACTGGTGTCATGCTGCTCGCTTTCTGGTTAAACACCAACTTTAGTCATCAGTTTACAGCAGATCATCGATGCACAGGTTGACGAGTGTTTTATTCTCTGACTCATATCCTGCTGGTCAGTTATCATGTGACTCGTTCATCGTTCATGTTTTTCAGCTGAGTAAATAATAAATGTCCTTTAGTCGTTGGTCTTTAGGGTTGATTACACTATTCATGAGTCGATTAGCTGTAATGAAGAGCACTCAGAAGTGCAGGAGTAAAGCATCCCATACTGCACACACACACACACACACACACACACACACACACACACACACACACACACACACACACACACACACACACACACACACACTGGAGTAAAGCTGTCAGGCAGCTGCATCTCATCTTTAGGCAGGAAGTTGCAGCCAGTCCTGCTGCACAAATCTTTGAGGAAATGTCTGTTTTAGCGTCCCTTTTTCTCCTATTTAGGCATAAATGTATCTTTAGTGTTGGACTTTGAAAAGACAGATAAACATTTCATTTTTTACTCAGAGAGAAGGTTTAGAAAAGAACCAAGAGAATGTTTTTACTGAGCGTTATTTAAATGTGTTCTGTGTTGTGCTCATTATACTTTTAGACCAGCTCTGTTCTCCTCAGGCCCACAGTGCAGAACATCCACGATGCTTTCACAACACGTTGAAGCAGTTTGACAATAGAATAAGATTGAGTTATAATTTTATTATTTTGATGAGATTAAGCTGCTTTGTAATTCAGCCTACACTTATTAAACCCCACGGCTAATGTCTCACACATTTACCCGTGCTGTTCTTTGTTCTTTTCTAATTCCTTAAATGTAGAAAATGTGAGGTTACGGAATTATTTTCACTCATTTGATTGTAGTGATTGGACCGCCAAAGGCTCCACATTGCACTGGGCCTTTCATGTTCCTCCTGCAGGTGGTGGGTCCATGGGTGGATGTGGACAGCCCATGTGTCTGGGTCAGGCCATGGGCAAAAGGCCGGCGGCTGGGTGCTAGAACGCAGGCCGACCCAAAGGCCTGCTGCCATCAGATGAAGTGTGAGACAGAGTGCCGTAGGAGGTGCCAGGTCCAGGGCTGGACCCCGTGTGCCAGCAGCACCAAGCCCGTTACATCCAACACCCCTCACCTGCAGGAGGAACAGGAAGACCTAACCCATATCCTAGCCTTAACCAATGGCGTTGTATTCCTAACCCTAACCTAAACTAAATCTTTATTCACTCCATACCTCCAAAACCAAGTTTTAGGATGCTTAGCACTGTGTGGACCAGCAAATTGTCCCCACACTGCAGGCTAAAGCTAAAATTGTGTCACATTTAAAGACAAGTACACACACATGCACACATGCACCCAAACACACACACATGCACACACAACTTGTTCCCAGCCTTTTATGGTGAAATGATTAAGGTATAATGACTTTTTTCATTCTAACACACAAAGAGTCATGCATTTCAACAGGAAGTTTTGGTCTCCATCTGATTCTTTTCTCTCTGGAGTTTGGGCTGTCCTCTCCAACAAAAACACGTAGGAACGGGTGATCCAGCGCAGTGGGAGGGAGGACAAAGACAAACAGCACGCTGCTTTAACCAGATAAGAATATTCCTCACGGCTGAAAACAGACCAGGCTGAACTTAGTTTTGTTTTTATCTGTGTTTAAAGTTAACATTCATATAATGTTAAAAGGCTAAACTGAAATGTTGTACCAGAACTGGACTAATAGCACAGATCACCTCTGATTCAGGGATCCTCCTAAAGATTCTTCCTTTTACGAGAACAATGGCATTTAGTCTAATTGTACTCAGCTGTTTGAGTTTTTGTTTCTCTCGTGGGCGTCTGCAGACGCCTCATTTCTCCTGAGTCGGGGCTTCCAGTCAGCCTGCAGAAAAAAGGAGCAACAAACAGGGATGTGGTTCCACTGATGCTAAGTAGGAAATATGTCTTTGTTTCCTCTTAAAACAGCTCCAGAAAAACCTGATGTAACTTTTTTTATCCTTTTTCCCTTCATTAAAGACCCCAGTTGAGCCAAGTTTGGATCATTAAGCTGATATCTAACAGCGGCCACATCAGAAGCTGCCACTCTGCAGTCAGGAGCCCCCTACACCCCCACCACCAGCACCACCACTACAAACAGCATTTACAGCTCTGTTTGAAAGGCAGCTAACCCCAATCTGCAGTTTCCCCAAACATGTGTTCCTTAGAGTCACTTTGGTTTCTGAGACAAGACCTCACATGGTCTGAATCCAAATGCAAAACCAAAAGAAGAGGAAAAAACATGATTTATGAGCAGGAATAACAGTATATCTGTTTTCTTACTGCTGATGATGCAAACTTGAGAAGGCTTCAGTGCAGCGTCAGCCTCTAAAGTTACATCGTACTAGCAGTTTTCTCCTGTGCTGAGCCTTTTAGCAGGCAGTGTCCAGCTGTGTAGCTGGAATCTGACCCAGGGTCAGCGCAACACTATTTCAGTCAGATGTTATGATAATCGATAAAGATCTCTTTACATCCTGAGTCCGGTCTGAATATGTTCCAAATTTGGCATAAAAATGCTCCGCAGTGGCCGTCTGAGCCTGAAACATGTCGGAGGAGCTTAAGCTGGAGTAAAAATGAGCGGTTTGTAATGTTTTCACCTGCATTTCCGCCATGCTGGCTTTCCTTCTGTTTGTTTTTCTTCTGCATCATTACTGTATTGGTTTGTTTTTAACCACAGCAAGCTGGTGTTTTTATTAGAAACACTTTCTAACCTTCAACAGATTTTATCAACTAACAGGTGAACGTGAAGCACGAGAATGAAAAAAGCTGAAACTGCAGAAAGGAGATTTACTATTAGACTCACAGTTGTACTGTGGATGCATTCGTTTAAGGCTCAAGTCATAATATCAGTACTTATATTAGATATGCACTAATCACTTTATCTAAATTTGTATTAAACAAATTTCCGTATTACACTGCCAGGCTAAAAAAAATGAGTTCACACATTTTAATATTTCATTGGACCACCTTTAGCTTTGATTACGACATGCCTTCACTGTGGCGTTGTTTTGATGAGCTTCTGCAACGTCACAAGATTTATTTCCACCCAGTGTTGCATTGATGAGTCACCAAGATCTTGCATTGATGATGGTAGAGTCTGACCGCTGCACAAAGCCTTCTCCAGCACATCCCAAAGATTCTCAGTGGGGTTAAGGTCTGGACTCTGTGGTGACCAATCCATGTGTGAAAATGATGTCTCATGCTCCCTGAACCAGTTTTCACTATTAGAGCCCGATGAGTCCTGGCATTGTCATCTTGGAATATGCCCGTGTCATCAGGGAAAATAAATAACATGGCCATTCAGTGTATTCAGGTAGTCAGCTGACCTCATTCTTGGAGCACAAGTTGTTGAACCTAGACCTGACCGACTGCAGCAACCCCAGATCATAGCACTGCCCCCACAGGCTTGTACAGTAGGCACCAGGCATGACAGATGCATCACTTCATCTGCCTCTCTTCTTACCCTGATGCACCATCACTCTGGAACAGGGTCCATCTGGACTTATCAGACCAGTTTTTAATA